TCAAAATCTTCGAACACAAATGCGGTATCGAGAGGAAAGCGGCGCGCAAACCCCGGATTGCAGTTGGCATACATTTCCTTCATATGCGCCGAGTATCCGCAGAGAATAACGCACCTGTCTTCTCCTGGAGCACCTGTTACCTCTGCCACCAGAGTGTCAAGGATAGCGCCACGGAAATCACCATTCTTGGAGCCAGTACTTCGCTTTCCGGGATCCAACATGTGGGCATCATCAATGATCAAGACGCTGCCCTTTGCCTCTGCAAGTGCTTCCTTCGTATTCTGTTCTGAGCCGCCAATGTATCGGTCAATGAGATCACTCGGGTTCTTGACGATAACATCTCCTTTTGAAAGGAGGCCGAAATCAGCCAGGATTTTACCGTAGAGCTTTGCAACGGTAGTTTTTCCCGTACCCGGGCTCCCCAAGAAGACACGATTGGCCGAGGCATAGAGAGGTTCCAGCCCCTTCATTTCCCGCTCGTAGTTTTGGTTGACTTGATGGACCACCGAGAGGATTGACTGCTTGACGTTTTCCAGTCCAAGCAACCCCTGAAGCTCCTTCCATGCCGGGCTCTTCTCGGGTTTGAGGCATGGCGGCTTGCCCAAGAGATCCTCCTTGTTCAAGAAATAGTCCTCAAGATACAGTCCTTCCCTCCTCGCGTGGTGAAATCGTTCAACCTGACGTTTACAAGCCTCGATGAAGGCCTTCTTCAACGGCCAGATGTTTGCAAAGTTCTTTTCTGATGTGCCACGAAGAATTCTGCGGATGAGAATCTTGACATATAAATCATCGACCTCTCCGGCGAGCTTCATCTTCTTGTTGAACCACTTCCGTACCATGCCGTGGAAAATGGAACGGAGCAATTCCTCAGAATAGTTGGGCAGCTTGTAAACAGGAAAATGATGTTCAACAACAGCACGGTGGGTGAGCTGATCCGTTAACCCGGCCTCTGCATCGCCAGCCAGGACGATAACAATGATGCCCGGGAGCTCTTTCGCTCTGGTGAAGAAACTCCATAAGTTGTAATCGTCCTTATCGATTAAATGGGCATCATCAAGCACCACGATCTGTTAAGGGTTAGCCGGTCAAGAACGAGACAGGTGAAGCGAGTATTCTTTCTACTTACACAACCTCCACATGTAGCAGATATCTGGCGCATACTCTCCAAAGTAGACGTCTTCGCAAAGTAATACGATGATGCCTTGTGGATGCCGGTATTTCCAGCGGGAGGCTTGAAAAGACCGATGGAGACGAGGAACTTGGCGTAGAGGTTTGCACATGTCGATTTGCCCGTGCCTTGGCCTCCGGTGAAACACACGTCGAAGTTCTCCTTTTTCAGGCAAGTTTCCCTTCTCGTCGATGCCTGAATCTTGGCTTTGGCGTGCAAGAACATGGCCTTTACATCTTCGAGCCCCGGCAAGGACATGATCCTGTCAAGATACTTGTTTTCTGCCTTTTCAATAGTCTTTTGACGTAACCACTCTATTCTAGATGATGATTCGTCTTCACGCTCCTCGGGAGAGAGCCCGTCAATCGACTCATTGTCGTCGTCATCCTCAGCCGAAGATTGTCTTTTGGAAATTGTCAGCTTTAACCAGGGCCAAATCAAGAGAGGACAGAACACTCACTCTAATTCAGCGAGAAGATCCTCCATCTTGGTGCACAATTCGAGAAACTCAGGCGTTGCAAGCACAGGGGGGTCCTGGTCCGTCTGTGCTGGAGCCTCTTCCTGGGTCTCCTCCTCCTCGCTGCTTTCCTCTTCGTATGGCTCGTCCCCATACATCATAGCCACCCCGATGAACATGTCGTATTTACCCGAAGCATCGTCGGTGCTCTCCTCGTCGGAAGACGATACTTCCTGGCTCTCGGCATCCTCGACACTCTTCCGTAATCTGGGACCCCTCCTTCTGGTGCGGCGCAGCGCGGGTCTCAGACCGAGCAGCCAGCTTACTCGGAATTTGGGATCATTGGTCTCATGCTCTCGCGCCCAATCTGCGCAGCGGAAGATTGCTGGCTTGGAAACGGACGGATTGCGTGGGTCTGGAAGCAGGCCTAGTACATAGCTTACTCTGAAGTGTGGATCGTCGGTCTGGTAGCGGGCTGCCCATTCCGGGCCATCTGTGGTTGAAGCCGGTTGGGATTGAAGGCCCAGAAGCCAACTGACGCAAAAGTGAGCGTCTGTGGACTGGAAATCCATGAATGTCTAGCAGCAGTACGGGCTGAATGGACGCAAAATGCACATTAAAACCGGCAATCGGGGTGGGAACCGGCTGGCGGCAGAGGATAATTGCATACGACGGCGGCAGTGGTGCACGGGGTAGCTGATAGGATGCGGACAGGAGCCCAGATGATCGAGATCCGGGCCGGGCTGGAGTGGGAGAAGGGTGCGGGCACGGCGGGGGACGTGAGGCAGACGGGGAGTGAAGTGAGAGAGGGAGAATTGGGAGGGAGGGAGATGGCGAGAGGGGAACAGGCGAGTAAGTAAAGTGCAAGGAAGGGGAGGAGCGAACGTGCAGCTGGAGGAGGAGGTCTTGCACTTGTTTTAAGTAGACGGCAGATAGGTAAGGTAGATGCAGCTCGCCGTTTGGAAGGTGCGGTGCAGTAAGGCAGTTGGCAGGCAGCAATGGCGCTTGGGGAGCCAAACCAGCGCCTGAGTCACCCATCCAGTCCCATCACGCAAGCTGATACGATGCGATAGCGACCTGCGCCCTCCCTCGCGTCCGTCCTCCCAGCGGCCTGCTTGGGCCTGCCACCACTGCATGGATGGGTTGGATGGCTGGGACTGGACACGGTCCGCCCTTGTCATGCTGCCCCAGCTCTGCGAAGGGCGAGAAAAAGGAATATCCATCTACTATTACCTACTAACCTATGCTTAGCGGTGCCGTAGCATGGATGCCTTCTGTCGGGTTGGCCGGCCAGGCATGCTTCTCCCATCGCCGTCTCACCTCAAAACCGTCGAGAGGCATCCATCCTCCCCGTCTCCATCGCCGTCCCCATCGACGACATGGGGCCAGGACAAGAACGCCTCAGCCAAGTGCCGGTCAAGTGTGTGCATATTATGCAGTCAAGGAGCGACACAGCCAGCAGCACTCTCCTCCGCCACCCGTCCCCGCTGTTGCCTCATTTTTATGCAGAGCGATAAATGCATTGCCACGAGACTGTCCGGCATTGGCACATCCTGCGATCAGAGCAGCGTGAAACAGGGCTTCTGACTGGCCACTGGCGCTGGAGACTGCTGCGCGCTGGCGCTGAGCCCCTCTGCCCCGGCCGTAAGCCAGCCATATCCACCGCGAAATGGATGAATGGTTCGCAAGGCTGAAGCGGGACATGTCCATCCTCTCCTGAAAGCCGGCTCCGCTGTGTGGTCTGGCAAGGGGCGGTCGGTGGTCCGGGGGCTCGGAAGCAAACGAGCAGATCTTTTGCTTGATCATTTGTGCTGCTGCTACACAAACTACCAACTGACATTACTTATTATAGACCAATCCATCCAAGAACACAAGCCGTGCTTCGTTCATGTTTGATCTGGCGCTGCTCCGGAACGCTGGTGCGGTGCACAGCAGGGTTCAGACACTTGGTTGGTGTACGGTGTGCCACCTACAGGCTGCCACGGTCCATCCACCCATCCCCCCCGCGTATGTCGCCCGTTCGGGGGTGCCTACGGCGACTAGCAGCGAAATCTGTTGGGGGTATCCATGATCCATCGTGGCCGGCGACACTTGGGTGAGACTGCAGGGGACAGGAGGGTCCGTTCCAAGCCTCAACAAGGCATGGAGGCTGGAGGCTTCGGGGAGGCACTTGGCTCTGCCCGCGAAAACGCCTGAGAGCCAGTCGCTTAGTGAGGCGGACAGCGATAACGCTCGCTTCTGCACGAAGCAAAACGTGGTGCCGCTCGGCCAGCGCTTGCTCCTCTTGCCCTTCCATTATTGGAGCAGCCAGAAAGGTGTGTGCACTCGCTCACTGCAGACGTGTTCGAATACGGCGCACCAAGGAAGAAAAAAGTGATCCAGAGGCATGCGAAAAATGATATGCACATGGTCTTGTTGTTGGCTACAGTGGACAATTTCCGTCGCCGTGACCCCATCGCCATCGGTGGGGAGGTGGAGCCGGCTGCCTGGGCACAGCCAAACGTCCTTGTTGACTGGCTGGATTCCCAGGATTCGTCATACACGAACAGCAATCAACATCCAGAGTTCCACAATAATGAGTTGGCATTTGTGACGATGGCTCTCAGTTTCCCAATACTGTGTTGGGTCGGCCTATCCAAGAAATCGATGATCGAACAGTGCGTGGCTGAACTCGGCCCTCCGTCTGTTCTGCCAATCAATTAACACCAACTCCAACCAAGTGGATGGGACAACATGCTCCATTGATAGCCGTCATACACTACCCATAGCCCTAGTGTTAATCCAGAGGGGCCTAATTATCAACTTCCAGATGGGTTCCCGCTATCATGGCCCTGGTGAAGAGTGATGAACCCAGCCTATGACATTCGTATGCACAGCCAGCCAAGTAAGAGCAAACATGAGCCTTCAAATTTTTATCAATGAATATCAGTCTTGCGAACGGTAGTGAGGCTTCTTCCCTTCACACTTAGGAGATATACTGAAGTCGTTGACGAGTCGAATTCAGTATCTACCGGTTCCAAATATTAAGATCCTTCACTAAAGAAAAGAAGAAAACAGCAAGACCTAATTCTTAAGGAAGATTTAAACAAACAGTTCCCGTTTTGGCCATATCATCTTCATTCATAGGCTCGGAGAAATGTCTTCTTCTGGTCAGTGATCCCTTGGCGTTCAATGTTTACGACATCACAATATCAGATAGTCGTACCAAAGGACAGCGCTATCAATAAAGCTGCAATTTTGGTTTCACAAATAATGTTCATTCGCCGAACCAAGTCAAATTGAGCCTCGGTGAGCAGATCTTAGAGACTTGGCAGAGTTGCCTTTTTCTACTTCGAGAAGGCGTCCATAATATAGATTCTCAAGCGAGCCGCTAAGATGATGAAGAAGTATTGCCCTGACCCCGCCCGCTACTATCGCCGGGACCCTGTTCTACAGAAATGGAAGTACAACGACATATACATGCTGCTCACCTATTCCCGTATCGTCGATCTGCCGGTATGGACGAAGACTTCGGAAAGGGCGTAAGTGATGAAAGCTTGAAGGTGGAAGTGAATGCCAGGTCAGCAGTAGTGCAAGTGTTAAGGTCCAATGTCAGAATAGCAATTTGGTCGGTGACAACAGTCTTGGCCTCGACGGTGTCGACCAGAGGCTCAGACGGCTCTCTCGACTATGTATGAATAGCCTATTTCTGCACAAGCATATCGAGAGCCTCTTAACACGGGCCGTGTTGAAGGCTGGTATCCCCTACGCATGGAACTAAGGTCTGGAGAGCTGAAGCCCAACACAACTCTGCGAAATGGCTTTCGCTGGAGATACATGAAGACACTCCAAAGCACCGAGGTAACCGAGTCTTGTTACAATGACGACACCAAATGACGAAGGCAACCCAGCGGACTAGATTACATATGTGATCTCAACTTCCCATGAAACGAGACACCATCCAGTATTAGGTTAATCCATCTTCGCGAACCCTGTAGGGAAGTTCTGCTCGTGCCCATTATAGTAATGGTCGCATAATTATGATGGGATATATAGGTAGGTTATAGCGACCGTTATGGTCACATCCATAAATCAAACCATTTTCCAGGCTGAAAAAATAACGGAACTTCTGCGTCTCTTCCATCGGGCCAAGCACTGTTGTGTCTCCCTTGATGAAATCAGTATCCTATCGCTGGACATAAAATAATAAATTCGTGTGGCGTAGTAGTCATCGATTTTGTCGATTGGTTTCTATAATATATCGATACATCCCACTGCCCTTGATGGAATGGTTTTGTTTTGGGAAACCATTACTAGGCTGGTTGTTTGATCCTTCTTTTGGATGTATTTGAAGGATGCTGCCATCCCTTCATAAGTAGTTGCTGAATCTTAGCTTCTCTCCATCCATCAGGATATACACCTGGTAATTAAATATCAATTTAGTCCCCAGTTGCATGTCTGGTTCGAGGCCATTCATGACCCATGCGTCAGTTGTAAATTATGAGTGAACATCGGTGCCATCGGGCAATTGGCCGCGTAGCACACATTGCGATTCAATTCGCGATGTTTGCTCACGGGAGGAGATTAATCGTTCCTTTGACGAGTACATTGCAATTCATTTAATGATTTCTCTTACAACTCGCTTTAGTTCGACTTCGGTCGCCGACCTATGAGTCTCTAGCTCGGCGACTTCGACTTGCCGCTTTTTTTTTTTTTTGGAAGAATATTACCTATATGGTCAACAGATCTTAGCTAGATATGATAAAAATAAAGCAAATATCACTCAGAATAATCTTACCTACTACGATTCTCATGCCAAGTTAGATATACCATGACTACCATGACTAGGTACTAGATACCCTTTCATCGCCTCGCACATCCTCTGCCTAGCAGTGATTCCGAGGGAGAGACGGTTGCACTACCATCCTACCCCAATATGCGAATGTTCATTCAAATTACAACTCAGATATTCAGTGAAATGATAATCAACTGGTAAATTACTGCCTTGTCCATCATCGTCAGATATAAACATGATTTTGAACTATTTAAAGATTGATCGCATGACCAGATTCATGAAGTGAACTGGCACTGGGCTCTGGACATTTACTCTTTCACTCAAATGCCCTTTCGAACACGCGCAGCACTTTATTCCATTACAATTACAAATTCATCTCGTCAGATGGTCCATATAGCGAGTCTTGTCAAGTGTCGTCCGTACTAGCTTCAGGAGTGGTGCCTGGCTCAGCCCTTTGATTTGTTGATCAACACATACCAGCAATTCCAATGTTACAAGTTCCTTGATAAAGGCTCAATGAGTTTCAAACCCGTTGACGCCGTTGTCACACTCTTCCTTGACTCTAAAAGTGGCGGTAGTGGCATCAAGAAGAACGACGACGAATCAATCCATGTCTGCCTCAGATTACATTACCGACCCAAGAACAGCAGTTTTCGTCCATCTCTATTCTTCAATTTCTACTCCCTTGGTACATGAAGAGCATGTCTGCGCAGCCTTCCAGTGACTTTCGAGTAGATGCTGGTTGCTGGTGGGCTTCAGAGGGACAAGGATATTTTCCATTGGCACTATCTCAGAATATACTCGCCAAATCCAGAAACGTGTTTGCTTCCTACTATGACGAGTGTCAAACCTCCATTGAGGGAAGATCCGTGTTAGGCACACAGGGGAGACCTGCAGCGTGACGTCCACCCACATCCATCACACATATGACCCATTTCCCCAGCGGTCACACCAGATTCACCTCTTCCTATGCTCTCGAGTATCTATTTTTTCCGATGCCTAGCTCGATATGTGCATGGGTATCTAATTTCGTCATCAATGGACATCTACATATCAGCATAACAATCAAGATGACATCAGCTATATCGCTAGTCCATGCTGCTATTATCGGTAGCCGAGCTGCTATGAACAGAATACTTGAAATGACGGGATAGCAGACTTGACGCGCATTTTGACCTACCCTAGGTATAAGATATGAATGTGGGTTATATCAGTTGTGATGATGTCCCGCTGATTCGATTCCTGGTTCTTGGAGTACCTGATACTCCCTTATTATCATTTACGCCCTTCAGTTCCATTCGTAGAAGTAAACATATGTGGAAGCACTCTAGCGACTATTAAGAAATTTAGAACTGGTTCGGCCAGACTAATCAGTGTAAAGTATCAAATCAAGTATCCTTTATATGTATTGTATAGGTAAGTTATCATTCTAGAAATAACGAGAATAAGGAAGTTTAGACAAGCATTAGATTATCAAATTTCTTGCCGGTAATGTGTATTTTGTAAAATTCATACCCCAGAAAATACCACGAAGGTCCAGGGATTCGTTTTCTCTATCAATCGTTTTGCCACTCACCTAAATCCCCTAACGGTTACAGCTACCCCACGGATCATCTACCAAGGGATACCGTTTTAAAAGACACACTCAAATCACTCGCGTGTAGGTGTAAACGGTGTGAACGTCCTAGGTTCGTGCAGTCGCCTTAACAGGCCACAGTTTCCGTCATAAACCACCACTAAGGGCCGAATACTCCATCGTCGGTCCGACGAATCCCTTCGAGGCCCTTGCATGGCTGATTTTAGGAAAGATTCGGTAAAACAGGGTAATGCCGAAGCGATTCCTAAAAGAATGCGGAAGAAGAAGGAAAGACCTCCACCTGAATGTAACGCGGCAATGATTGTTAACCTCTTCATCAGCACGGATCCTCTTCCATTTCCGGGCCAGTAATGGAGCCGATCGGAAGTTGTCAGGGAGGGGGGGGTAGAAAAAGAGCTCAATAAGAGTATGTCAGCCGAATCGGGAGCGCCGTAAGTGGGAGTAGGGAATCGGCAGGTGATTGAGCGTTCACGAAACCGGTGAGAGCAGATCCAGAAGAACGTATGACTTGGGATGAAATCCGACGCCTGTGCGTGGGACCCCTGCCCTGTACGCTACAACGTGGACTCCCCGTCGTAGCATTGCGGGCTCTGGGGGGCGGGTACCTTGTCTGTGACAGATGCCATGGGGTTCGACGTACTCTCACGTATACATATGTGCGTTTAGACTATACTGGCCCTCTCGCAGTACCCTATCGAATACCCCTGTTGACAGTTTTTCCCTTACAGAGCTTTCTTTTTTTACAGCCCTTATTTCTGACTGCTCATTAACACATAGTGATGAGCAAGGGAAGGGTGTTGAGAAGAAAAGCCTCAGAGGGAGATGGGAAAACACCCTGGTCGAATCTTGGAAAAAAAGGTACCGAGGTCGGCGGGTGGTAAGCAAGTTTCTCGCCCTGTAAGAGCAGGTCAACGGCGCAGACATCGAGTCATAGCCGCCTAACGGCAGAGAAGAAGGGAGTGATAGTTTCTCAAACAAATTCCCGTCCTAAGAGTGAAGCTGTCTTGGACCACGACCCGCCACATTCTCCGAAACTGAGTGAGAGAATAGAGAAGCGAATACGCAGGCCAGTGCAGTGCAACCCCACTAAGAGGCCACCTAATGGCCTCCGAATAGCGGTGAAGGGCTTGATCTTCCAGCGGCAGGCAGCGTATCAAGACGCCGCCACCGTAAGGCCCTAGATGGAATCTAAATAAGATGGAACAGAGCAACACGGACCCCAAGCCCAGTTTAGGAGGCTACCTGCCTTGGTTGGTATGGATCTCTCTTGGTCTGTCGTATGTTTCTTGCCAATCGAGCATCTCAATGTCCTATTGGGCCAAGGGATCGTGCTCGTTGTGGAGGAGCCCCAATCAGCAGTACATGTGCGGAACCTCCCACAACGAAGCCCCTCAAAAGCCCCTACGGCAACTGTGACTTGCTTGGCAATCAATTGTTGCGCACTGGTGGAGCCTGCTCAGAGGGCTGCTGTCCGCGATCTGCCGAAGCTGACCTGTCATACCCTTAGTTAATGCGAAAATCACCAGATATTGATCGCTGCCTCCAGATATATGTGGTTCCAGCGATGTGAGATGAGCATGCGCTCAAGGTCAACGTTCTCCGTGGAGATTTGCTTTTGTTGCGCTGCTGTCTTAGCCGAAAGTAATAGGCGTGCATGTGTCTGAGATGTTGTCTCCTTGCACATTTCCCGCACCCCCGACACTGTTACATAGCAGATCAAGGAGAATTAAGACGCTCCTGTCGCAGATCGAATAACGGTGTAGCCCCGTTGATCTTCATCGGAGTGTCTTATACTGGAGGAACCAGTCCGGGCGAGTGAACGCCATGATTGACAGCCCGTTCTAGTCACTGTGCTCTGATAGGCAATCGCATGAGACTGCTAAGGCCTAGACATAAGGTACACACTATTAATGGGGATTGCATACATGCCTGTTCTGGTGTGGGTACTTGGAAAGAATTCTTCTGGAAGACTCGGAGACATTTTTTCGCCGTGGCATGGCCCATAGGATCTAAAGGCAAGGCCCATGTCAGGTGCCTGCTGAAACATGGGGGTCCGGTTCTCGTCACTCAGCTGGGCATTTTGATCTGTGTCAAAATGAACTATCGCTCTTCAAGCTCGCAGGCGCAATATGTCGCTCGCCATCAGACCCCTTGTTAGGAATAGGACGGTCAATAGTGGTTGGTAGCTCATGCTGTTTCCCTTTATTTTCCATGTCAGTGTCCGTCCCCGGATTACACAGCAGCAATCACAACGGGCAGCAGCGTGAAATGAAACCGGGCAGAAACGCGGGCAATCAATCGAGGCCCAGCCAAGACCCTTCCAATCTTTGGCCTCGTTTCTTCCTGCCACATGCAACGCATCGCCGTTTCTTGTCACACGTTTGACATCAAAAGCCCACCCAGCAGCTAGCCCGGCATAGCCCGGCCCAACCCAATCCAGGCGACATGTCATCTGTCAGGCTGCATTTCGCCTGGGTTGCAGCAGATGGATCAAGGGCGATGACAGACTGGCACACACGCGACAAGTGGGACCACCCATCAAGTAAAGCAAACAAGGGCGCTCCATGGACTGGAGAACCAAACCGACCAGACAGCTCTCGCCAATCTGCGGCGGAGCACGCTGGTGCGAGAGGCCAGGCTGCGCACGTACGCATCACTGTTTTACCTAGGCATTAGTAGAAGTAGTTAATCTCAGAAGGGAGCATCCAGCGAACGAACGTGGGCCTCGTCAATACCCGATTTTCTTGCATTTGGCAGTGGTGCAGGCTAACCATTGCGGCCCGTTGTTATCGCCGTTCATTCACCTGTTGGGTTCGCTTTCGCCCGTCCGCCCGCCCGTCTGTCTGTTGCTCGACCGGGATAGGCTGCGTTGGGCTTGGATTGACAGTAATATTAAGCTGCAAGATGGATGTTGGGCTGTCCCGAACGGCCGTTGTTGTTGGCTGGGGATGGCCTCTGAGACAATACGGCCAGCCGTCCGCGAGCATCCCCCACTTGGGTTGTTCTCTGTATGGCCAGCGCCCAACCATGGGTCCCCTATTACCACACCTTGTTGCGGTTGCGCTCGAAGATGGGCCAAGGCTAGTCGACGTCGGGTCAAGTCGTCAATGACATTTAGCCAGACGCTAGCCTTGTTGCCGAGCGAGCTTCGCCGACGACTGCCAGGTACCAGGGTCCAAGTGTCCACGCTCGACTGCTTCGTGGGTTCTAATTATACGCGCATAATACGTAGCTCGCTCCTTTCCTCTTGCCCTGGCCCTCTTGGGTTCAGGCTGGCTTCCAATATTCTAGAAGGCATCGATCGAGCGTGGAGAAGATGAGAAATGGTTCGATTAATCCATGCCTGGGAAGGGCCCGCCAGCCAGAGCTTGATCGATCGTGCCATTACTCGCAACGCAGGCGACTCCAAGCGCAAGGCTGGGCATGGCCTTGGAGTAATTACCGCCCGTCACACGTCGCCCGGAGCGCTTTTCGCAGTTCCGGGTTCTGTTTCCGGGATGGAGGAGGAGGATCTTACCTGGCGGGCAATTTGACGACTAGCCAGGTAGGGAGGCAGGCTCCTGTGTTAGGCGTGGTAATTTCCTGGGCAGGTATCTCCATGTAGATGCATCGAGAACAATCAATCGGCTGCGGGCTTGGGCCATGATGCGATGCCGATGCCAGCAGGGGCCGTTCAAGGCGAATTGGCCTTGGCGGGCCATGTGCGCGTGTGCGTGCTTGAGAAGAGCGAGTATCCGTCGGCGTGCAGCCGTTAGCTGTGCCGTCATGTTGAAGGGCTGCTGCATGCTGCATCTAATTACCAGTAGCTGCTGCTCGTCTAGCTAATAGGCACTGAGGCATGCACTAGGGGACACCGATAAATCGTGGGCAGTTAGTACCGATCAGTACTTGCAGGTACCTATTTTAGCTCCCAGTTAGGTAGTGGGTGGTGGTGGGTGCTTGTGCTCATGCGTGCTGCCCTGGTCCCTCCTTCCTCCCCCCAGCATCCGCTCCGCAGGTGCGTGTGGCCCCTCCTTCCCCCGACACCAGAACAAAGTTTCCTGGGCCAGGACATTGACTTTTGGGGATATCATTCTTTTCTTATTTTTCGTAGCCAGGGAGTAATTAGACTGTTTGCGGATCGCTTCATACGCTCGTTCTTTTCTTCTCCTCCTCCGCCGCTTCCTCCTCCTCCTCCCTCCCCAATTCCTCTTCTCCTTGCACTCACACACGAGCAGCTCTCTCACCCGTCTCCCGCCCAATCGCTCACTCACTCGCTCTCACTCCGACTCTCACTCTGCTGCTACCCACTCACCAAGCCGTCTGGGCTGGCCTAGCCTCCGTCGGCCGCATCCTGTCACCCGTAACGCCGCCGCATCTCTGCTCTGTGCTGCCGCCGCCCGCTCGGCGCCAGCTTCTCGTCTCTTCTCTCCTTGGGTTGTCTTTTCTTTTTCCTCCATTGCACCCAAGTCTCACCCCACGCATATCGACCTGCCCTCTGGTGGGGCAGCATTGGGCCGTGTATCACTAGCGGCCTCACTGCTGCGGCTCGTCTGCCCTGCTTTGTCCACCGAGCTTGGGTTCTTCACGTACATATTTAGTTCTCAAGTCGTGTCTCTCGCTTGCTGTGTTGTCTGCTCTGGTCCGGTCCGCCCTTGACCTGCGAGCTTGAGGTTTAACACCCTCCATTACCAACCTTTGGCTCTACCATATTCATCCGGCTTCCACTGCGCGACATCGCTACCACCTTACTATATACAGTTGCAGTGGCGTTCTGTACCCCGGCGTTTTGCTTGTTCAGCTCTTTAATACCCACTACGGTGATCCTACATCGGCCCAAGCAACTGTTGCAGTGAGCGCCCCGTCAGCGATCCGATCCGATAAGAGAGTGTGTGAGAGAGAAAGAGAGAGCGTCAGAGGCACACAGCCTGATCGAGTGTGCCAAAACGTCATGACCTACATTGTGAGTCGCAACCCTTCATAAGTCACCCTAGCAAGCGCCATACATCCCTTTCTGCCCAAGCACTTCGAGACCAGCCCTGCTCCCCGGTTGATTGATCACATCTCACCCAATGTGGGCTCCTGGTCTCTCCCACGGCTCGTCAACGTGTTCAGGCCGGTGGTAATCATGACCACCCTCAAATCAAGGAGCTGGCATTCACAAGCAAGCACAAATATCACCACCATCTTTATCAATACCACCACCACCATCAGCCTCTGCTACCACACCACACCCCGGCACACCGCCCTTGTGTATTCATCCTTCACGCCCCAGCTCCTTGCCTCACTTCACCCAGCACCCAACCGTCCGTGCCGCCAGCATCTGATCCTCTTCCGGCATCCTACTAGAAACAGAAGGCTTGTTTGTCTGGATCTGCATAAAAGCATCCATGATGCCGTTCCCTAGCCCACCTTCCCTCCTCACTACACCATCTATCGCACTCGCTCCTGTTGGATAGATCTCGTTGGCTGTTGTCGGGACTGATCTATACCGCTACATCCAATCCGAAGCCACATACGCCATGACACTCTAATCTGCTGTTCCCCTAATACGATCTTATCCCTGCACACGCGCGTCATACCTGATTTGTCAACTTCTTGAAACACCTGCCTCCGTGTATACACATCTTCAGCGGCGCACCAGATCATGGGCAGGACATTGCAACTAATCGCAAACTTACAGCTTTCGCTTGCCCACTACTGTGATATCCATGGCCCAACTCCATTAATGGTGACCGAGGGCTTGCCCACCTCATGCAACGTCTGCTATGACGACTTCACAGTCAATGTCGATTCTTCACAACGGCCCACGGCTTCTCAAAACTCAACGGCAATCACCAAGGCATTACATGATCTCGCTATCCACGATGCCCACGCCGCTGGCGTTCCTGGGGCTGAACAGGGGAAACAGGCACAGCACCGGCCTGCCTCCCACCGGACCCTGGGTCTTAAAACGGACAGCAGGGCAACCACGATGATAGATACGCCTCCAGGAAGCCCCCACCAACCCCAGCAACAGTCTCGCCTTGACTCAAGCTTCCGCCGGACATACGACGATACAGTAACGAAAAAGCAAGGACCTTGCGATAACTGCGCAATGACCTTGCCTCGCCGATCTGCGAGTGACCCTGGAAACGTGGATGCTTCGATAAATACGAAAGGACCGACGCTCAGAACGCGAGCTCCTGCTGAACGGGTCTTTGGCGCGGGCGGCCAGCAATCACCTCCCAACTCTCAATCGTCTAGCGACACAGATGGGGAGCGAGAGGCGTCGCGACGGCCCAGGCATAGAAAGGCGGTTCCATCAAACTCGAGAACTACCTCGTGCTCTAGCAATTCGATGGCGTCCGAGGCAGCACCGTTCCATGTTCACTATGTCAACTATACTTCCACACATGAACCGGTTCTCCCCAACTCCTTCTCACTTCTACGCTCCTCGTGCCTACGAACCCTCTCGTTCGAGACATTGCCCAGGCCGCCTACGACTGCTGCGCCAGCCACTTCAATTCAACCTGACGCATCATCAGCTTTTGTGACGACCCAGAGTGCCGGCTCGGCCGCATCCGGTGGACCAATCTTTTTCGGAGATGTGCATACTGGATACACAACCGCCTACATTTTTCGAATTCCCGACGTAACTGCTCGAGGCCACAAGCGAGTGTACGCGTTTATTGCTCTCAGCACCCACAAGGAGCGCCTCGCCATGAAGACGTTTGCCATCATTTCGGCGGCCTTTCGCGAATTCGCAACCTGGATTCAACAACTCGCAGAAGCCGAGGCTGAACGTACAGCTGAGACCGGCTCCGGCAGTAGCACCTTCTACAGTTCCGGTGCCGGTGGCCTGTCTCAACCCACAGCCTCGGCTTTCGACCCCCCGGCGCCAGGAGACCGCGGTAGCAGTTTCCTTACCGGTGGTGGGGGTTTCACAAGACGAATGGGAGGTGGAGGTAGTGCAGCTGCTCCCAAAGCACGTGGCCTCGCCGACCTGGTGGGACAGCCTGACTTCTTTATCGAATTACACAGGAAATTTGTCCAACTTCTGTTCGAAGTTGGCGTCACGCTAAATGCATAATAAGTTGTTATGCAATATACAACACCCGGAAAGGCACAGGATGGGGCACAGCCCATACAACGTGTCCCGGGACCGGCCAGACATATTAAGCGATGTTACCTCAACTTCGGAACTCCCTGCATAGCGTTATCATATAAAAGACGAGCTGGTCACGTCTAATGGTTAATGATAATGTCAGCATGGTTTGGCGAGGAAATAGTTCCCTTCTTTGTAACGTTTCTTCAAACCTTGATGGAAAGAGATCGTTTTGGTTTTTGTTTTTCTTGGAACGATTTAATGAGAGTAATGTCGGCGTTAGAACGGAAAAGGTAATGGGAGATACAATAGACTCGATACACGGAAAGGGCATGGTCGTTCAGGGCACAAAAAGACGGGACGGGATGGAAGATACCCTTGGTAGCGGTTCAACAGGTTCAGCAAGCCAGACTGGATGGCATGGAGCAAGTCATGTTGTGTGAATATTGATTATTTGGGCACTTATAGACGATACGCCAGAACTCAAAAATAGATCATGTGTTTTTTACTCAACTTAATACATACGGACATGACCAGCTTACAGCGATGAGTGTACGGCCAACATGTTCATCCACGCGAGGTATGGGACGGAACTTGAAATTTGAAGCAGCGCTTCTCCCTTCTTCTCCTTCCTCTTCTTTCATGAGGCAACGGCGTCACAATCCTATCATGTCTGATACTGATATGCGTCAACTCATGGAATTTAGTCTATGCAACCCAGCACCTACTCAATGCGCACTCTGCTAGGAGCAAAAACATCAGAGCCTATCCCAATTCCGGATCTATCTCATTAATTGTACACACAAGCTCAATTCCCATGATAGTAGGTTCCATAATATTATGAGTTTCCCTTCTTGAATTTGTTCTTTGCTTTATTTGTAGAAGTCAAACTTGTTGTCATCCTGCGTGCCCTTGACCTGGCTGGAGTAGGCGTCCTCGAGGTCGGTCTGGATGATGTTGTAGCGATTCTTGCGGACGGCGCGGAGGCCGGCCTCTTGCATGATGGCGGCGATGATGGCTCCGGACAGCGGGTCGTTGCGGACGATCAGACTGTCGAGGTCTACCTCGGGGGCGAGGCTCATCTTGCTCGCAATGGTGGTGAAGATGAGTCGTCGCTCACGGCGGTCACGGAGGGACGGGAACTCAATCTTTCGATCGAGACGACCGGGACGGAGGAGGGCGGGGTCGAGGGTGTCGGCTCGGTTGGTGGCCATGATGACCTTGACGTTGGCCGTCTGGTCGAAACCGTCCATCTGGTTGAGCAGCTCCAGGAGGATACGCTGAACCTCACGGTCGGCGCCGGTCTGGGCATCGAAACGCTTCGTGGCAATAGCATCAATCTCGTCGATGAAGATGATGGCGGGGGAGTTCTCGCGGGCCATACGGAACACGTCACGAACCATCCGGGGCCCCTCACCCAGGTACTTTTGGACGAACTCGGACCCAACAACACGAATGAAGCTGGCGGTCGTAGAGTTGGCTACGGCCTTGACAAGCATAGTCTTTCCGGTACCGGGAGGGCCGTAGAGCAGGA